CTCGGCGCCCCTGCGCCCCGTCACTAGCTTTAGGGAGCCGGGCTGCGGCCGGCCGTGCAGAGGACGCCAGTGATGCGACGGCGACCGGGCATTTTTTAAATGTTTCCCTCAGCCGGGTGGATGGATATATCGTACACCTTTTCTCCTTTTAAGAGGCCGGACTTTATGCCTGTCTGTGTGTCATTTCTGAGGAGTAAGAGCTCAGCCCTCGGAGGTGAAGATGACTCCCAGCTGCATCGGGGTGGAATCAATCGTGTTTGTGGTGCATTTATTTCTGGAAACGGGCGCTCGCTGCTGGACTTGCTTTTTGCTGCGGTGGCTTTGATTCCTCCCTAACAGTCGGGATGAGGCCTGTAGGCGACGCTGTTCGAGCTAGGAGCGAGTTGCGGCGAAGTCGAGTCCGGCGCTCGCGTCCGCGTGTGGGTGGAGCCGAGCTCTTGGGCCTGGGCAGCGACTGCAGGCTGCGCTTCCTCTGCCTTGAAACCGAGTCGCCGGACGAGGCTGGAGTACAAACTGATGATGCGTGTTGTATCAGGCCCTACCTTGGTAGTCGCTCACTGTAAAACAAGGAGTGGTTTCAGCGTTCCACAGTTCTCTAAAGTTTATTTGTGTAAATGAAAAGGGGGCTATTCTTCTCGTAAAAAGTGCAGTAGGTAAGCAGATTTTATTCCAACAGGCCTAAATTTGCGTTCTTTTAGTGAATTCAGTTAAGTCAACCTTAATTGTATTGTGTATGTGCATATATACACACTGCGCTAAAAGCATGGGAAAATTTGCCTACAGTAGGATATTCCCTGGCCTTAGAAATCCTTGAAGAGACCTTGTTACTCTTTGCGGCAGTCCCTGCTACGGTTTTCTATCGCAGTTGGAATGGGATAAAAGCTAAAGCCTTGACATTGCCCAGAGGCGCTGGAGGGTGAGAGGGTGAGGGACCTACCCTAGCATACTTGCTAATAGGGCTCTACCCTTGTTAGAGTTTTTTTCAAATGTCAGTCCAGTGTTTCCACGGCCACAATTTAAGCTGCAAATTCCCTGGTTCCCTTCTCATTTTATCCGTTGGACATTCCACGTATCTTTCTTGTCTATTTTTCTCTCCTTCGCTAGTAGAATGTAAGCTCCCGAGAGTTATTTGTTTTTTGTTTTTTGTCTACTGGTCTGTCCAGCGAAGTAAATGCTGTGACACCCTCTCCTCTCGGTTTCTGAACTCCACCCTTTAATGTGTACTTAGATATGTCTAACACATTTATATGCCACAAACTTTATGAAAGGTGATGAAAACTGGAAAAATGCAAATGTGTTACAGAGCTCTGGAAAAAGATCACTTCTAGACATCTGAAAGCCCACAAACCAGTGATAGTCCTTGCTTTTAGGTTTCTGAAAAAAGGCAAGGTGGAGTAAAATAGTGTAGTGGATCATATGATCATATCCATAGTAAGCTGAATCATTTTGCTTTCTACATCCTGCTCTCTCCCCAGATTCATGGTATTTTTAATGAATTAAAGTCTAAAGATTTGATTCACTCTGCCCAAATCCAACACCGATAGAAAAATTCATTCCCTTCATTGTGCCCAAACTGTGTAGTAGGCGCAGTGATTCAAAGGAGTTTTTGTCTGCAGGGAGGAGAACTTACATAAAGGGCTACATATGGCTAGTGTGGTTACCTATTACTCAATTATGCTGTCAGATATAGCAAAAGCTAGATTTATTTTTACAGTTTTCTGAAGAAAAGGTTCAGTGAAAGCTGAGGTCAAGATTAATGTGGCTATTTTAATTCACCATTTGCTTTGCTGTTTATTTACATTTACCTATCTTATGATAGCACTTGGTATACCAATAAGTTGAAAATGATTTTTTTAAAACTATAAAATGAAGGTAAGAAATATTTTCTGGTGGCTAGAAAAGTAGCCTTTTAAATTAAAGTAAATAAATATACCAGTATATTAGAAGCTATGCACTAAACCTTTAGCTATGTTATGCTGTTAGCACATTTTCATATTTACTTTACTGAATTTTTGCACAAAAATCTTGGTACTTTATAACCATTAATAACAAACATTGTTTAGTAAATCCAGTAGTCTATTCATTACAGATTTATGCATTGTCTTAACAGATTTAAGTAACACACAGATTGCTCAGAATATGTTGTTCATTGTTTCAAAATACCAACATTTCAGTTTGCGTGTGGAAAATCAATTATCTTCCTGTATACTTAATTGTTTACTGGTGAACTAGTAATTTCATATGTCTAGGAAACTAGCTGGTACACTCTGTGGTGGAAAGTCTTGGTAATTTTTTTTGGTACCAGATATCAAACCCAGGACCTTGAGCTTGTGAGGCAGGCTCGGTGCAGAAGTTAATTTTTTAATTTAAAATTTAAATATTTAGTTTCTTCCCTCACTTTAAATACATATTGAAAACCTATTAGGTGCTCATTAACTTTATACTAGGTGCCTCATATAAAATAATGAATGAAAACAAAATCACTGTTTTTGAGGGCTTTAATATGTATGTGGTTCAAGCCAATTTTTGCCCTGGGGATAGAATTAAAGAAATTGTTTCAATGCCTATCAGTATTCTCCCATTAAATCAATTAATATTTTGCTTGCCTAAATTTTTATTCCAATGGAGTTCTTACATAGAATCAGTAGTCCTGTTTTCTTGATTTCATTCTTTCTTTTTCCCTTTTTTGCTTATTGTCGTCAATGCCATCAGTTTATTTTACTCTTACATTTTTAAAACTCTCATGTCCCAAATCAATTGACTTTTAGGAACTTATAGTTCATTGTTATATCCTTAACTTGTCAATTTTTGTTTGGAAGGTAGCCCAATACATCTTTAATATGACCTAAGATTACCTTCTTGCTTTAGGGAATGAGTTGTATGACTCAGTTTTACTTGCTGAGAATATTTCTTGGTATTCTCATACGTAGTTTTGACCACTGCATTGCAGATTTAATTTAAAAATCTAAATGGATTTTAAATATTAACTACCTGTATTAAATGTCATTACCAAAAATTGGTACAGACAGGGTATGTATTCTTATTTTTATTGAAGAATATTTATCTTAAAGATAAATGCAGTTTCCCATAGTGATGGGAATAGAAAACAAATCTTAGAAAATCATCTCACTATATTTGTTACTTATCCTTGTTGGTGAAAAAAATTATCTGTAATAGGAAACAAGGTTTAAAAGATAGAAAAAAAAAACAAGTAAAAGATACCACATGAATGTTTTGTAGGTTATTTTTGACAATCAAAACTATTTCACATTTAGTATAATTAAATTACTTTTGTTGTTGTTGTTGGTACCGGGGATTGAACTCAGGACCTTGCATTTGTGAAGCAGGTGGCAGAACCACTGAGCTAAATCCCTGGCCCCATGAAATTACTTTTAAGATGACAAGCTGATGAAAAGTTAGGGATGCTGCTTTTAAGGTCAGAACTGTAGTTATCAGATGACTTAATAATTTGTAAATATGTTCCTGTTTCAAGTAAGTACCTTAATCAAATTTGCAATAGTGTTTATGAAGTTTATTCAATATATTCAGTCAATTTTTAAGAGTCTAGAAATGATTTTTTTTTCTCCTATGAATGTCTTTATTCGTTTTGGCCTATTTTGAATAAGCTTTATCCTTTTACTGACTTATAATTAACAATTTTCTCTACATTTATAGTTTGATTTTTTTTTTGGGGGGGTGGGTACCGGGGTTTGAACTTGGGTCCTTGCACTTTAAAGGCAGGTGGTGGAACCACTGAGCTAAATCCCCAGCCCACGTTTATAGATTTTTAAAAATCCATGCTATTCATTTATGACTATGACTTAACAGCATTTGTTTGTTTTTGTTTATGTGTATGCCTTACATTTGTAAATCAGGGTAACCAGTTACTTCTTATACTTACAAGTTTCACTGAGCAAGGCACAGGATAGGGCCGTTAAAGAAATACATTTCTGAAATATGATTTCCATATAAAGTTACTTAAGGTCATAAATCTTCATGAAAGATTAATCTTTATGAAACCGACACATATGCTGGATCTGAACCAGAAAGTTAAACTCTACATGTATTTTAATACTGAATTGTTTTAGACAGACATTGGTTCAAAAGTGATTTTATTTATAAAGGAAGAACATAAAACTTATTTTATATAAGATTTATAAGATCTACAATTGGTATGAAGGAAGCTTATGATGCTCATTTTAATTGCTGTTTCACATCACCTTGTCAAAGCATCTGCTCTAGATCAGCATTTTAAACTGCTGTTACGTATCATCACACATCATGAAATTAATTCAGTGAGTTTTCTAGCATTTTATATTTAAAATATAGAAAAGAATAAAAAATCTGAGTATATTGCATATAGTAAGATAAGATTTTAAATAAACATTTTGTTTATATATGCTGGATTACCTTGAAAATACATTTCTTCCTGTGAATTGTAGGCAAAAAGTGGGTTTTTAAAAAGAATCTATGTTTCAGGT